GCCCCCGCGGCTCCGAGCTCCCGGCTGCGGCCGGATCCTGCCCTCCGCTGCGGCCAGCGCTGCGGGAAGAACAGATTCTGCCTGTCCCGGCTAATGCGCCTGGCAAACTTCTCCCCCGGGGGTACCTTTGGCTTCTTCGGCACCCGTGAAAGCGCGTCCTAAAATCCGCGCAGAAGGGCCGCTGGTGGGACGAAAAGGCTAATTTATATTTATACGTATTTATAAATATCAGTATACCGAGAGAGTGCTCGAACCGGAACACGCGCTCCGGTGTTGCGGGCGGGCCAGGGGTTTCCGCCTGCTGCGGCAGGATCATCGGGATGCCAGGAACCACCGTCCCTCCCGAAACAGCTCCGCACCTCTGCAGACCCTGGCCACAGGCTTTATCGGCCCTGGGAGAAGGTTTTCTTCTTGGATATTCCGGCGGTTTTGCTCATTTTGTGTCCCACCTTGCTAGCTAAATATTAAAACTCATCGGAATATAGGAAATTACGGACATAGCCTCTCTGTGCCATGATGAAATTCATCTACCCGAACTTTCCCAGAATAATATCACACATTTCCCCTCCTCACTGCGGATTTCAATTTATTTTCTTGCACAAGATATGATAGTGTCTCTTCGCAAAAAAATAAACAGCTCACGGCCGCGCATTTTATCTGCGGAAAGCTTCCCACTTCTACGCATTTTCTATCCAGCCAATCTTTCATTTAAAGTTATAAAAACTTTCCCAAAGTACGAAAAGCCTAAACTTTCCCTGTCAGTGATTCTCTATTATCTCCTAACGTGCAAAAATTGTAGCACCCTTACTTCTAACAGAACTGTTACAAAATTCAGAACCAGAGAGCCTGAAAGTGTGCTTCCCAGCACGGCATCTGATTTAATAGGAAGGGAAAACACGTCGCAGATGTATTCCCATTTACTTCGAACAAAGACAAAATGGCTAAGGAAAGGATGTTTAGCGACGCTTAAAAAGCCACTGTAATTAATTTGCTAGTATTTACTACGAATTCTACGAGCTGACGAATACGATTTTAGTTTAATAATACGCATTTGAGATCGTAGAATGGGGATGAATTTCCCACACACCATCCGTGCAATGATTTAAACGGGGGGGGGGGGGAGGTGACCAGAAAAGACTGAGGCTAAAAAACAGCAAATGAGAAGGTCGCTTAACTTCGCGGATGTTCGTGGATAATGAGTAGAGCGAGGATAAATGAATGCGGAAACGGCACATAATTAAGAAGACGGACTTCTCTCTATTAAATGAGATGCCAGTAGGGTGATACGTATCTGCATGTGCCCATGCGGCCCTGCGGGTGCTGTGCACAACCCCGGGGAGCAGGGACGAGGCGTGGGGATTGTGGAGCCGTGTGTCCGTGTGTGCTGATGCAATGCCTGTGTGCGCACACCTACACGCCCGGCTTGCTAGCACACTTCCTTAAAACGGCTCCTTCCCGGTGCGTTAATCCTCAGGGTTTCTGGCGGTGCTGCTAAGCGCTGACTTCTCCCCGCGAACCCGAGTTGAGAGCCGCATCGGCACAGTGCAATACCCGGACCCCCGCACGGCCGAGGTTTGCTCTAGGGGACGGCACCTCCGCCTACGGTGGAGAGCGCTTCACTGGCCCTCTCCTGTGCCGTATGTGTTGGCGTTTGGGCCGTTTCTCTCCGTTCCTGTGCACGGTACTGTACATGAATGCGCCAGCCGGACCCGGCTCCCGGGGTGCGGCGGTGGCGGG